TAAAAAGATTCAAGTTTTCAGTATTGCTACGTATTTTTCGAAGTTCTCAAAAATCAATTCGCTCTGGGATGAATTGTTCTTTCCACACAAGCACACGAATACGCATCAACGTGAACGAAGCTATGCAGATGGTATATTTATTCAACTGTGACGAATTTATCGTAGAAACGTTTTCTTTTCATCCTTATCGCGATGGTTGACTAGTGAAAATCTAATCGTTCATATTTCATCGTTCATGTAATGACGTGTACTATAACATATATGCAACGCACTCAGTTCTCTCTTTTTTTCTCACAAGTAACATATGACTTGTTCTTCCAATAAAAATAACAATTCGAACCAACGTCGAATGGACGTTACACTGCAACAACAGGTTCATTCCAACTAACACTGTTTCAAAGATCTGCGAAAACAAACTCTGAATTTCGATCCAGTATTCTTTAATCTGTTGTAGCTACTACTCAAAGTTAGTATGAAAATCGTAAAGAACAAATAGAATCAGAGTAGTACAAATGACTTATACATGTAATGATTTAAAATGATATGGTCGTCGTATTAAACGAATCGATGGAGTTAAACAGCTACAAGATGGAGTGAAGCTATTACCGATTGTGGCAGACAAGTATGTTTCATTGTAGTTTGAAACCATAGCGCTGTATCACGTCAACACAGTAATGCAAAATGAGTTGCACCAGGTCAAACTATTCTACGTTATGGTATTCAACAATCACCAGTTCACTTTCCATTACCTGTTGATCACAAGCCAATCAGCTTTCGCTCTCTCTACCAATCTACGTCGCTTAATCCTTTGCAGTGATAGTTCGAAGTACCCTAGACAAAAAATTTTCTGCAATTCTGATAAGAATCAGGTAAGATTCTTATCAAATTCTTATATAAGACTACGCAGGAAAGTGAATGGAGTTTGATAAGAGTCTTATTAGAATCTCATAAGAAAGTCATAAGAATTTTATAAGAACGTGATGAGAAGCTCTTATCTGTGTCTTATAGACGTGTTACAAAATGTTTATTCCTACCGAATTTTGATAAGAAGTTTCTGACATACTTTGTCCTTGCAAGACTTTTCAGAAGAGTTAATTTTAAATTATTCTGGACAAGGAGTAGTTTGACGATTCCATTTTACTCAGCAAAACAGTAAGAAACTCAATGTTTGACTATAGGACATTTATATTTCATAGTGACTTTGAAGTCGTTATGCTCGCGAGAGTGCTCTGTCTTTAGTTGTCGATATACTCAGAAAAGAATTCAAAAATCTAAAACTAGTTAATCACAATGTAATAGCAAGATGATCTTTATTATCACAGTCCGTAATAGCTCAGGGGATGAGACCACGACATGGCATGCCGTAGGCCCTAGGTTTGAACCCTACACGTATCGTATGATTTTTTTCAAATTTTTTTTGCATAATTCAGATGCACTACTAACTTAGTTTAATTTCTTGAGCATTTTTCAGATCGCTTTACAAAACAAGTATTTCATAAGAAAGTGATTAGAAGTTAATAAGACCTCTTATCACTTTCTCATGAAATTCTTATGACATTCTTATCAGATTCTTATAAGACTCTTATCAAACTCCATTCACTTTCCTGCGTAATCTTATATAAGAATTTGATAAGAATCCGGTAAGATTCTTACGTGAATCTTATCGGGTACTTATAAGTTTCTTATAAGATTCTTAACTGATGCTTATATAAGAATCGACGTCTAAGGTAGATATATGCTGTACGCTCTTTATCTCTTTAATACTACTTAGTACTTCATTACTGCATGGTACTACTTGGTACTTCATACTACTTAAAGTTTGTGGATAGAGTCAAACAAATAACTAAATCGTTACAACCACGTTTGTATTCGATGATGAAAGAAGACAAGCAGGCAACAGAAGAATTTGCATCAGATCCAAATGTGATTGTTGTTAACCGAACGAAAAAGCGTAGAAGAGTGGTATCTCTTCCGTCTGCCACAAGTACCGATACAATTAGGCATGCAACAATCCGATAGTTCGGTCACCGAACGGTTTGTTACCGAACGGTTCACAACCGAACGTGTGCGGTCTCGAAACTTGATGCGACCGAACGTGTTCGGACGAAGATTGCAAATACGATAGTTAATATTTTTCTCACCTGGGATATTAGCGAGCGTTCTGCTCAGAAACTACTATCCATTTCAAAATAGAATGCACTTGATCATTTTCACAATAACTTTGTCTAAGAAGCAGCTAAACAGCTGCGGTTTTCACTGTTTGAAAGCGAAATGTTGAGGCTACAAGTGAGAAATTCATCAAACTTTCAGAAAATATTCATTATGTAACCAGTATTATTGTGACACGGGAAAATTTTTGGATCGGTTTGGTCTAAAACTCAGCGGTTTTCGGGAAACCCTCTGAAAAACCTCAACTTTTAAAAGTAAGAGTTTTGAAGTTTCACTCTACCACAGTGTTTCTGGTTACACAATGAATATTTTCTGAAAGTTTGATGAATTTCTGACTTGAAATGGCTGAGATCTTGCAATTGCAGTTTTGACAGACTAGTTGCAAAAAAACGGTTTTTCCTGAAAATGACTCTGGAGCGTTCCCATTGACTCCTAACTAAAAACAAACATTGCCACGTTGATCACCGCAGTCGATAACCTATGTTTCGAGCCTTTTCCAGATCTTTGGTTGAATGTGGACCGAGTTAGCATGGCCTATGAAAAACTTCCTAGCTCCCGAACCTTGTGAGGTGTCGAATTGAGATTAGTCTAGAATTAAAGATCTCGTGCTGGCCTATCTTTCTGACGTCTTAAAAGGTAAAATCCGAAATGTTTTTAGTGGTGCGACATCTTATGCAAAATGTCTTCGAAAGGCTTACCACCTGCAGGTAGTTTTGGGACAAAACTTTTTAATGTCTCTTGTAGCCTCAACATTTCGCTTTCAAACAGTGAAAACCGCAGCTGTTTAGCTGCTTCTTAGACAAAGTTATTGTGAAAATGATCAAGTGCATTCTATTTTGAAATGGATAGTATTTGGACAAAGTACGATGAACCTTATAAAGATACATTCGAATTAGGGCTACAACTTTCTGTTGACTTTATTTGCACAGTGAGGAATAGCATTTCTGCATGAAAAAAAAGTGAATCAATCAGGCCACATTAGTAAAGTATACTTTAGTTAGGGAGTAAATCAGATATAGTGGAAACTAAAGGTACTTTGGACTTCCTGGAATAAAGCAAACACAAGCTGCTGCTCTGATTCAAACTTGTTAAGTGTGTAGCCTTGAAATTGTTCCCAGTAAAGAGCACAAGTGTAACAGTAAAGCACGCTGTCGAAACAGTGGTAGGAATCACCATTATCTTGAAAGTTCTTCCCCACATTTAATTCAGTACCGTAGAACACTGATGACTTATTTGATCGATAGAAATCTTGTTCCTTCTCAATGTCATATACCCAGAGAATTTCGTTCGCGTGTTGCTCAGATTAAGCCGGTGTCTCTTGATGAACCACAACAGACCATTTCTTCATTTGTTTCTCGTGACATACCCTCTTTGGTACCGTTAGTCGATTCGTTTGCTTCTGTAGTAGCGGGTTTGCCTTCGCGGGCTCGGGATCCAGATCAATCTCAACCGCCATCGATGAATCCAATGTCAAGTAACTGTAGTTCATTCGGTACACTAGGTTCCTTGTCCGATCGGTTGAACGCACTGCATCTGGAAACGACTCGGCACTTAGCATCGATTAGTGAGCAAATTGCACAGACGAATATCATGACACAGTGCATACAAATAAAAGCTGATGAGTTATCGCAGGTCGTTTCGAATATTGTTGTTCCCACCATGAATCAGTTATCATCGACATTGTTGAAGGCTGTAATCGGTCAAGGTCAAATAAGTAACGCAGAGGTGTCGGCCGTTCAAAACATTCCATCTCAGTTGAATGAGTCAGTTTTGCGGGCACAAACTTGTATAATCAACTCAAAAATGTCGGAGGTGGCGTCACGCGCTCTCAGTAAGAGACAGCTTGGGAGAGTCCTCTCTCCATCGTACAACAATTCATATCCTTCCCAACAGCGTTAAATCCTTTATCAGATCCGTTTGTATTGTTTGATTCATACGTTGATTCGATTGTTTCTCAAGTTTTTTCTTTGTGTGAAGATGATCATGTTTTATTATCTACCGTGCTCGCAGAATGGAACGCGAAAAGCACCATTTTATTGTTGATTTCAAACTAATCACTAATCAGTACCGATTAGTACCAGGTAGTAATGGGTAGTAGTAGGTGGTAATAGTAGTTAGGGATTACGAAAATAGGCATTTGTACCAAAGTCATATTATCTGCAATTTTCAACTTTGTTGCAAGGTCGAATGCTCCATCCTGTGCTTATTCCATCCGTTCCCTCGAAGGTTATGAAACAGACTTGAGAGTAGTAATTTTGTCTTCCCGATAGTTTTTCTCAAAAGCTGCCAAATGTATGCTCCGATGTTTAACCTTGTAACGAACAGGAATATTGTTTTCCGATAAATGACTTCGATTCCTACGTTTAAGACCATCTTCCCCCCGTCAGAAACAAAATTTTTTATAAAAAGTCGATATTGAGCTAAGGACGTCACCAGATAGTCCACAGTACTTACTATCAGGATCCAATGTTATTTGGTCCTCATCGAAGGGTTATGGAGGTTTCTAGAAAACTTTTCTGAAAATCTTGAAAAGTTGACTGTTCGAAAAGTAAAACTTTTCGACTAAAAAGCAACTCGAAAACTACTTTTAGTAATATCGAGAAATAGAGCAAACATCTCTGGTCAAAATGAGATATCTCCCAGCTCTGAATGATGTTCTGATCGAGAGTTATGAGAGTTTTGCTGGAAGCCCCAAAAGTTACATCAGACACTGGTGCCACCATATCTTGAAAACGACTTTCGCTTTAACACCATTTCGTAGCTCCCAGATTTCTCGGTACGGAAATATCACAGAGAGCTCCGGAAGGTCTTAAATTGAAGCTGACTCATGTGGCTAGAGGCTAATAGAGTCCGATTTTGATATTCGGTCTAGATTTGTGATTAGAAAAAAATCTTTACCAAAGTTAATGAGACTTTTTCGAGTTTTGGACTTTCGACACCGACCATTAATTTGAAAAGAAAAATATCAAAAATCCTGGTCTATTAACCTCTAGCCACATGTGTTTTCGAGAATTTAAGACCAGCCTGAGCTCTCCACAACGTTTCGTTACTGAGAAATCTGGGGGCTACGAACAGCCCTATTCTAGTCACTATTGTGGCGACATCTCACAAAACATGCATGATGGAGCCAAAAAAAAAATTTCCTCCCTATACTTTCACAAGATCAGCATCTCTTAAAATGTTCATCAAGTTCGGACTTATAGTTTCAGAGATAGGTTTCCGACGGAGGCCTTAAATATATCAGCAATCATTTTGTGGCTCGTTTAAGATTCATGTATTATTGTTTTGAGATCAAATGGCGGACGTCTTGGGAATAAAATGTTTATGTATGCAACTGCTTATGGTTTAACAAGAATGTATCATTGTTCGATGTATATCGAAAGAAGAGCTTTTGATGAATTACGTGAAACATTCTTAGTTGATCCAGTTAAACGCATTTCTGATGAGCAATTTTCGAATGTTAAAAACAAAATTCAAGTACTATCAAATGGTTGTCATTACACCAACTTATCAACAGTAATCGTAAATTCTACCATACTGGAACTAACTGGATATTGGCAAAATTATAAATACTTTGTGAATTATTACAAAGAAATTCGACATCAATTTACTTTAAAAAAGAATATTTTATTGGAAATTGATAAATATTTTACATATAGCTATAAACTAAGAAATGCAACGTTGGTCGGTGTGCATGTTAGGCGTGGAGATTTTCTATCTCAACATAATATAAATGTTGGATTTACTGTTTCATCTGCCGAATATATTAATAAATCAATGACTTATTTTACAACGAAATATCAAAATGTCTATTTTATTATTGCCAGTGATGATAAAACTTGGTGTATAGAAACATTTGGAAAACAGCAGAATAATAATGTTCTAATCACACCCAAACATTTTACACCATCAGAAGATTTAGCGATACTTACTTCGTGTAAACATACTATTGTAACTGTGGGAACATTCGGTTGGTGGGCAGCATTTTTAACCAATGGTGAAGTGTTGTGCGATAAAAATTATCCAAGAAATGGTACCTGGCTTAGTGAATTGTGTCCAGGACAAGAATACTATCCACCGTGGTACAAAAGTTTATAATGATATATTTGTATTATTAACAGAACAAGAACCTACACTCGTACGCGTACTTTTTTTAAAATACAATCTCGCATTTTTTTACGTGTACATTAAGTACAAAAAAAGTACTTTGTACTTTTACGTAAAGTACAAAAAATGTATTTTTTCAAGTACTCCAATTACACTAGTCTTGTATCAACAACGTTGAGCTGTTTCAACGAAACTTCGACGAAAGTTATCGACGATTTAATGGACTAACTCGCCGTAGTACACTGTAATAAAGCAACGAGAATTCCCATGAAAATTTAGTTTCTAGTCTCCCACCTTTGTATGGTTATGAAACGGTACGACGATCTTAGTGACTCAAAAAGCTTCAGGATATCAATAAACAAGATATCAGTAAACAAATACCACACGCTGTTCACATATCAGATGAATTTGCATAAAGAGTTTTTTGTGTTCTGTGTATATCACTTCGTCTTAGCAATTGCTGGATTCCATTATTAGCAGGCTTTATTCTGACATTTTTGCATAAAACTGACACCTGTTCAGAATACTAAAAGTTGTTTTTTTATGAACGTTTCTTGCTATAGCCAAGTGACTCCAGGAACCTGATGTTTTATGTTTATTCAGACGGTAACACTAAATATGATGTGGTCAATAAACCGCCTTCTTCCTGACATCAGTCTTGGCGAACGGCTACATACTCGATAGTTTGAACGATAGTTATGTTGACTGAGCGTTGTCTGAGTTATTGTCACTGGATTATTTTAACAAATATTGTATTTTCTGATTGAGCTAAGTTACTTGGTCAGATTTGGATGTCCGAACGCACTTATGATGCACGTACATACATACATCGAGAGATTTGAACGTGTGACGGATGTACATACATCGACACAGTTTCAAAGAAATATATGGCTTTGCGTCGTTTCCTTTATTTTCCTATGTTTTGCCTATATGGACCCTTTTATGAAATAAAAGTCCATGTTTTGCTTGATTTGATGAACTGTCAGCTTTAGTGATGGTTAGACAAACAATACCCGTGCTTCTAACATATTTATTGTGTGGGCTTTATTCCGTTGGCTGCACGTCTATGGTCATACAAATAAATTGTCTGTGGCGCACTTGTAACGGACATACATACACCGAGACATTTGAACGTGTGACGGATGTGTGAAGGAAAAATGTGTGACCAGACTAGGATTCGAACCCAGGACCTTGACATTCCGTGTCTCTGCTCTAACCACTGAGCTACCTGGTCGACATCTCTAGCCATCACAGGATATACATGCACCGAGGCAGTTTCAAAGAAATAGATAGCTCCGTGTCGATTTGAATATTTTTTATTTCTTTCCTTACTTCTTTAAAAAAATTGTCCGTTCTTCTGTCAACTATAGATAACAGAAAAGGGAACAATATTTCATAATCTACTCTTTTCGCCATCATTAACCATTTTTAGGCTTGGTAGTCTTTGTGAGTCAGAATAGACAACTCTATTGTGCAAATATCACGTGCAACTGAAGTACACTGAATCAGCAAAGGAGTTGTTTATTCACCACACACAACTGATTAATTAATTTATTAGTTGAAGTGGAAATAAATCCTCGTTATGACACAATAGCCTAAGCAGACAAAAAATGTATTATTACCACTAAAGTGGAAAGCCGGCGTGTGAATATAAATCAACGATCAGTGACCTCTTGACCTGAAATGTTCTATCCGAACTCACATATCATGTTATTTATTCAAGATATTCGAGTTCGTTCATTGACAAGATCTCGATATCTACTTTCCATGTTCATTCTTTAACTAACAGAATAAAGCACATTTCTGTAAGACATGCGCATATAAAAAAGAGAGACAGTACTTCTACATAGGAACAAAAATTCATCAAACAATTTATCTTAATGTTGATGAATTCTTATGTAGCGAATTATATATATATGAAAAAAAGAATAAAAAACACGAAGTTCTGATATGAAAGGACCGCTTAGAAAGAAAGTGTTTCTTAAGGTAGTTGAAACACTGATCTCACCGTGTTTTACCCGGTTTTCTCTTCGGGAACATAATGCAATCAAAACATTAAAAAGCAGATATAAACTGCAAAAAGCTCAAGCATAAAGAAATACGTGCCTTATATAACAGACACTGTTTTTCATTTTGTTTAAAATGAGAAGAACGTAGATTTCTTCAATCACACACGTGTCTGTCGTATGAGTCATATAAACGACGTATATCACATTCTTCGCTTTTTTTTCTGAAGTGTAAAATACTTCCACGTGGCCTCTTCTTTCATGTCAGTGAAAATGTATGTGTACAGCATACACACTCAGAACGATACCTTTTATATAAAACATATCTTATTTAACACAATATATATCGAAGAATATTTGAAATATGCATATATCTGTATAACCGCATGTCATACAGGGAAAAACGGATTCAAAGTCTCATACTAGTCTTAGTTTGAGTTGCTGTTCATCATGATATTGGCAAAAAGAAGACGAAATTGTTCGCATACGTTGAACTCTCGGCAAGATATGTAGCTGGATCCCTGGAGAAACATTCATTTTGAAAAATAAACGTTCCTCCCTAAAAAGAAAATTTTCTCTAATCGTATCATATAAAAAAAAACGCATTCCTATTTAAGCCGTTGCATTATAACTTTGTTTCAAACATCTTTTGAAACAGCTGCTACAGGATTGATTTTGCTTTTTTTAGAGTTTTAATTTTTGAATAATATAATGGGAATTTATTAACACAGTATATATCGAAGAATATTTGAAATATAGCCGCATGTCATACAGGAAAAAGAAATTCCAACTTAAAGTCGGTTTCACAGAATACAAAAAACAGAAATATCCGTTAATGAAAAGTTGTCTAGTCATTAGAGTACTGCGGTAACAAAAAGATCCCATTACTTTACCATTACCATGGTAATAGTAATGGTAATGGTAAAAAAAAAATTTAGATTTGTGGTAATAGATGGTAAATGGTAACAAAAATTTAAATTCATGGTAATGGTAATGGTAGTGGTAACGGACACCGTTCATAATCATACCATCTCTTTATTGTAAAAAAAGAAGAAAAAAAAGTACCAGAAAAAAATAAAATTCGTTATTCATCTGAATTGTATTCTTCTGAATTATATTCTTGTTCAGGTTCAGTATTGCTTGCATCTGAACTATCATTATTATCGTTTTTCTTGTTGTCTCCTTGTGTAGACACAGTTACACAGAAGAAAGCGAATTCTTTTATCGTACACTATTTTATAATACTTTAGTGTATATAATATAGACTAGCGCTATGTAACCTTCAGGCTAAGCCATGAGCCTAGATATTCTTTGTTACGTGCCTTCTGCACGTGTTTATATTTTTTTCTTTCCTTTCTGTTCGAATATGTTCTGTTACCGTGGAACTTCCATTACCATTACCATGGTAATGGTCATGGTAAAGAAAAGAATCACATCAATGGTAATGGTATGGTAAATGGTAACGAAAAAGTCACGGTAACAGGACTCTGCTAGTCATATCACGGGATCGGAAAATTTTAAATGCTTCTTCGGTCAAAACCAATTGCAGATTCGTCTTCTCCATGGTCGATTATCTGGTAAGTAATAACCTCTGGACTTTGGAAAAAAAATTCCTGTCAGAAATTATTTCGCAAGTACCGCGATCCAAAAGTTATCGTGTACCAGATGAGCGACCATACAGAAGGCGAATGCGCAACCGGTTTTGAGTGAACAAGCTTTTGAAAGTTTTCGATCCGGTGTTATGCTTTACTTGATGCCCAATGCTGCACAGTGGGCATTTAGGCGGCATTTTGGTGAAAAATCGCAGGTTCGAAGTTTTATATTTTGAATGATGACATATATACTATAAATAATGTCCTATTTAACGGTGAAACGTTTTTGGCTCTAGCTTCTTCCAAAGTTGAGAAAATTAAATTACAAAATTACCAGTAGAATTAGTATGCTGGCTATCTAGCCGTAAGAAAATTTTCGTAGGACAAAGTTAAATTTCGGGGAACGCGCGAAGATCTTTCCACGGAACTCATCTAAAAGAAAGACGTCCTCATAAAAATGCAATCGCTAAACCCCGCTGAGCAGGTATTGATATGAAAAATAGCTCAAAATGTTCGTCTCAAGCTCCTCTGCATATACTGATCTCACAAAGTCTCCCAACTCTAGGAGTGCTGAGTTACAGGCTTTCCAAAAACCCTGGGGATTTTCGCGTATTTCACAGTTTTCTTGAAAGTAAGGTCATATTTGGAATTAGCGTGAAAAACTGCATCGAACGGTGTATATCTCATCTAGTTTCGGTCGCTCGATTTTGAATTCTAGAAATTTCTTAGTTTTTGAGATTCACACAAACAATTTCGTGCTGAAAATTTGAATTTCAAGATAAAGTAACCTGAACGACTCGAAACATGTTTCCTAGTAGCTTCTGAACGATATTTTGTGCCCATATTTCTTCCGAAATATTCTTATAATGTCAAAGAATAAAAGAACTGCAGCA